CCCCCCCCCCCCCCCCCCATTTCTGCATTGATCACCAGTTCTTTCCTCTTTAAGCTTCGTGACTGCCCAAAAATCCTCACAAACGTTGCTTGGGCTGAGGACTTTTAACATCAAGAAGGGATACCTGAGCGCGCTTTTCTTCTCCTCGTTGCTCTCCATCCAGCCCTTTCTCTCTTTCTTGACTTGGGCCTTCTCAGATGCTAAGCCAGCAGGGAGAGACAAACTTGTTTCATCGATTGCTGTTTGCCACTCCAAGAACGCTTTCAACTGAAAAGTAGGATTTGAAAAAATGCTTTAAATAAACAAATAAACCCTGCCACAGAACAAAAATGCTTGCATGGAAAGGCCCTGAGAGGCTATTGCAACTTCCCCTTCCTTTCAGGTGGCCTGAACTACAATTTCCAGCATTTCAAGCCAGCAGGAAGGGCATCTCTTTGGGTAGGACGCAAGAACAAACCTTTAGGTACACAGGAATGGGGTGGGTGGATATTTACACTTCACCTTTGTGCAATCTTCTTTTCCTTCAAGCCCTGATATAACTGGAGCTGGGTGGGTGGTGTCCCCACCTAATGCTGCAGGTCCACAGTCCGTCCCTTGATTCAGTTCAGTTTGTTCCTGCAGGATAAGAATACCATCCACATTTTCATTTTCAAGTTTTTCTAAATCAACCAACCGGTGCTAATATCTGTGCTTAGTACAGGGGTTTTTTTTTAAGCCAGAATAACTTTTAATATATAAAGTAGATTTCTGAGTGAAAATAAAATCCTCATTATGATGCTTGGTAAATATTAGCAAGTTTTATTAAAAGCAAACCTAGATATATTTGTGAACAGATAAGTAGTTCTCTAATCTAGGCATATGAAATTTGCTCTTTGATGGTGGCTTAGCACACACACACGTATACATATAAATACAGTATACATACACATACACACTCCTAATTCCAAAATCCAGCCAGCCGGTAGGATCACTCTGAAATATTTTACCAACTAAAATGGAACAACACCTTACAGCTCCCATCTCCCAAGCCATCAGCTTGTGCAAAGCTCCTGATCCTCAGTCCAAAATAAAAATGGCCCTACTCTTTGCCATCAAAATATATTCCTTTACAGAGCTCTTATTCTTGCTACCAATTCTCTATGACATAATCAGTTTTGATGCCCCAAAGGAGTTAAAAATATATTGTGGAGGGATTAAGTGCAAAGGGAATCTGTTAGTTTATCTGTTTGTGGAAAGAAAGCTGAGATATAAATCTAATGAATAAATATACCATTTAACAACGAACCCTAATATTACTACCACAGATACAAACCATTATTTAGAACTTTACTATGTTTAGTATAAAAATTGGCTGAACAGTGCATACTCACATAGATCTGGAACATCTGCACAATTGGGATTCTATTGTGCAATGCACCAACACCTGCACAACTGTATAGACCAGTGTTTCTCAACCTTGGCAACTTTAATTCCTCTGGCTGGGGAATTCTGGGAGTTGAAGTCCACCCACCTTAAAGTTGCCAAGGTTGAGAAACACCCATAGAGACAAATAGGGGCCCCACGTTGTCTAAATAATTAGAGCCAGATGTAGGTCTACTTTTCAGAGCTGGCTCTACGATTAGGCAGTGAGATGTCAAACTCAGACAACTTCCTTTCAGTACCACATTAGACAACAATTTTTGGTTACTCGTATGGTTACTGGTTTGTATTTTAGATATGTTCAGGGTTTGTTGTTTAGATTTGATTTTTAATGGATTATTTATTTAACTATTTATGTTGTTGTTGTTCAGTCGTTAAGTCGTGTCCGACTCTTTGTGACCCCATGAACCG